TGATAGGAACCACAAGCTATGTTTTTTCTCTTGTGGTTTGTCCGTCTCACTGACAGCAGGGTGCTCTGACATGTAAAGCAAACAGGCATCCAGGCCCAGCTGTGTTGAGCAGGACCTCACACCTGTGGGCGTGTTTGTGTCCTACGGGCTGCCATCATTCAACACAGGGATCTCAGCAGGCCAGACAGGTGGGGAATGAGAATAGTCAAGGGCCAAGTTTTCTCCTCGGAAAACTGTGATGTGGCATCAGTGAGGGCATAGCAGGTGACTTTTTGTGCTTTGCAGCTAGAGTCGTTCCCTACTGGGAAGAGTTAACTGTTAAAAGTGCAAAGCTGACAGCATATCAGCTGCCAGTTATGCTACCAAAAAAATATTTTCCTTCATCAAATGTTTGTCCCAAGAAGCAAGGGGAAAACAAAGACCACAGGATGAGTGCAGCTGTGAGAACACTGCCCTGTTTCCAAGCCTGCCAAGAATGCCCTGGAGTTACCAGCACCTCTCTGAGTGCTTGATGAGCACCTGAAGGACAGGTGCTTAACATCTGCCTGTGTGTTTTGTTGTGTGAGTCTTGTCACCCTGAACTTTTGGGTGTTGGTACAACTTTGAGTCATGTCTTGTCAAGAGACATCACTGCAGGCAGGCTTTTCTAGGGCATGTTAAAGCCTGTGGCCGTCTTGTGTAGCTTTCAGACTATGCTAAGCCATCTTTCAAGCCTCTGGGAGTTTGTCTCGGGAGGAAGCAGCTTGCCTTCAGCTGCTGCCTCTCACAGCTACTCACTGACCCTGACAGAACAGGCAGCGTCCTGGGCACATGCCAAGTGAAGCAGACTGTTAGCAGGAGAGTACTGGGTGAGTTTCCTGTGGGCATGCCAGAAATGAGGGGCAAAACCTGAGGAATGGACCAGGATGCAGAAAAGAAAAAAGCCAAACTTCTCTAAGCCTGAACCATCGCACTGGGCTTTGTTGCGATTTTATCTTGGGGTCCTGTGTAGGTCAAATCCAGTGATCCCGTGCAGGTCCGTAAGGAGCTGTCATGGGCCAAACTTGGAAGAAGTCCCCTTCAAGATGACTGTCAGCCAGAGACAGGTGGGCTATCCAGGTCAAGACATCCACCTGCATACGGGGCCTCCTTCAAGTCCCAGCAGGCTTCCTCACCTGCTGTCTGAACATCCCCTCCGTTGATGGTCCTTCCACAGATGATACAGTGAGGAGATCCTGCAGGAAACACAGGCAGGGCTGGGTGAGTGTGGCTTTGGTGACCTTTCCCAGAGACACAAGCAAGCCTGGATGGGGAGGCACGCTCTGCCTTTGCTGGGCTGAGATCCACTTGTTGTTCCAAGTAGATGCTATTAGGGGAACGCTCACAGTAAGGACTAGGTCTACACCTGTTAATCCTGGCTCTGCTCAGGGTTGTCCTCCTGGAGCTGCCTTCTAAAGTGACGCAGGTTGGAAAAATGACAGCGAATATAGTGATCAGGACAAAATCCCAGTTACTGGAATATTTAAGGCACAGGAAGGAGGAGGGATTGTCTCCTATAGTACTGGCTCTGATTATTGCTCTTTGTGATGATCATCTAGGAGACAGGGAAACATATGCATAAAAAGCAGCAAAGAAATAAATTGACTGAAATTCTATAACACTATAAATGAAACTAACAACACTGCCTTTGCTCCTGAGAATCTGGAGATGTGAAACATGAGACAAAAACGTTTGTTCTGTCCACAGAAAACATAGCTGGGATAAGGGCTGTCCTTGTCTCTGAACACAATTTCTGAATTTTTTAGCATCTGACCTTTCTGCTCTAGCAACAGGCTCACTCAAAGCTCATCTTGCCTGCTTTTACTTTCTTTTCTTTCATTCTTTCTTAAGCAGACCTGCAATTGCTCCAGTATATTATTTAGTGGAAATACTAGGCTTTTGTAACATACCTGTGGGTGAAACAGACTCCGCAGGCACAGTTTGCACCTTGTATTCGGAATCATTGGCATGAAGAAAGAAAATAAGCTGCAGTTCAATACACAGGATATAAGCATGGAAAACAATAAAAGGAATAGAGAGTTTCCTTTATTTGTCCTTGAATAACTGTATTCTATGCCACAGAAAACCTGAAGGGAATCATCAATAAAACTGTGCCCTAGCAGCCTTTTTCTGTAGCATGTGAGTGATGCAATCAAGACTCCACCACATCATATTTCAAATACTCAGTTGCTCTTCACCCTTGCTTCCCATATCTATATTTTAGTTTACTTAAAAGAAATTATGGTACTATGACAGTCTGGTCACATGAAACACATTTGTGCCACAGCTACCTATCAAGTCTCAGAGAAGACAAGCAGTAGCAAAGGCAGGAGAAACACGAAAAGGTCAAGCAACAATTCACTTGACCCACTGATGTGTCTAAAAATACCAACTACATTGATCTTAAAGTGCAATGCAATGTGGGAAGGAAGATTTTCCTATAATGGTGAGCAAACAGAATAAGGAGCCACACACCAATTTAATTTATTTTAAAAAAATGAAGAACTTGGACAGAAGGATAACCCTCGGGCAGCAGCACACACTTCAGGCTGTGCAAACAGTCCCCTGAAGGGCCAAAATCCAGTGCACGTTTCTGTTCCCACCGAGGGAGCTTCCTGCCATTTTTGTGCTTATAGACCGGTTTTACAGAAGACCACATATGAACATACACTGTACGATTTATCGCACGTGTGATGTTGCATGTCCACTGTTAGATTACTCTGGGACACATGCTGTTAATAAGCATTGGCTTCTGAGTTAACCTTGCGCCTGATGACAGTGATCTGGATGATGGGATCAGGTGTACCCTCATGAAGTTTGCCAATGATGCCAAACTGAGCAGGGAAGTGTGCATTTTGGAAGAGAAAGCCATCCTGCAGGAAGACCTGGACAGACTGGAAGGAAAAGTGGATTAATAGGAACCTTATTAAATTCAACAAAGACAAGTGTAAGACCTTGCACCAGGGAAAGCATATTCCAGGAGTGCAGCACAGGCTGGGATCTACCTACATCTACGCTAGAGAGCAGCTCTGTGGAAAGGGACCTCGGGGTGCTGGTGGACAAGCAGGTCAGTGAGATTGAGCAGTTGCTGCTGTGGCAAAGGAAGTCATGATGAGGAGAATGTCACTTGTGGAAGTTCAAATGGAGACTCTATTTGGACTCTATTTGTGAATCATCAACGGCATCGCCAGCAGAGATACGGAAGGCATTGTCCCACTCTACTCAGAGACTGTCAGGCCACACCTAGAATGCTGTGTTCAGTTTTGGTCCCTGCCATGCAAAATAGATGTGGACAGGCTGGAGAAGGACCACAGTGGTGATCAAAGGACTGGGAAGCCTGACATGTGAGGAGAGGCTGAGAGAACTGGGTTTGTACAGCTTTGAGAAAAGAAGGCTTAGTGGAGACATTATCACCATGTTTCAATATTTAAAGGATGGCTCCAGAGAAGATAGAGAATCCTTTTTTACAAGGAGTCACATAGAAAAGATGAGGAGTAATGGGTACAATTTATTCTTCATGAAGTTTCAATTGTTCACGAGAGGACAGTTTTTCACAAGGAGAACAATCAGTCACTGGAATAATCTCCCTAGGGAAGTGGTGGGTTTCCCCAGCATTGGACACTTTTAAGATTTGTCTGGACAGTGTGGTGAGCTTTTTTTAGACTATGTGCTTTCGCCATGAAAGGTTGGGTCAGACCAGATGATCCTCGAGGTCCTTCCGACCTGGTATTCTCTGACTCTTATGATTCTAGCAACATGTCTTACTCATGCACAAGCTGCATAAAGCTTGTGGAGGCTCTTGGTGCAAGCCAGGTCTGTGGGTTAACTACAGGAGAGACATGTATCGCAGAAATATCTGGCAAGGCATGGACTGTAGGACTCCTTGCAATCCTTGCAGGCTCTCTGGGTTGGACTCCTTGTTTGTTTTGTTTCTTATTCATCTTCCTTCCTTTAAAAGGTGAAAAACTGATACATCTTGCTCCCAGAGGAAGAAGTACATTTCTCGGTGACCACAAGCTAACCTGGTCACTGACCACAGTCCCTTCCACTTGCTGTGCTGAACTTCATCTCCAGCAATGTTGCCTTGTGACATGGAGCTGTCATGTGGAGATTATTGCTGGGAAACTGCATCTCCCACAGAGGCGCTGGAAGTTCCCCCATGGTCCCAGGGAGGCAGGGATGAATCACATTTCCTTCTCAAATAAAGGTGGCTGGAGGGCAGCTCTGCGTTAACCCTGTGATGTGAGGTCTGCATCTGCTTTTGGTTCTGCACACCTCTGAGCAGCCTTTTAGAAGCAGAAACCAACCAATAAGGAAGGTAACTACTGGCTTTGCTGGGACTCTGCTGGCTGTAATCAGCCACTCTTGCACAGGCAAGTCTGGTAGCTGTTACATCAGCACATTTTTGCCTCTGGCATGTAAAGTTCAAGTGGGGCTGTCTTGCTAAACAGTTTTCCCTTCTTTTAAGGGGTATTTTTTACCCTCTTAGCTGCAGAGGAATGACTTTGCTTCATTTACAAAAGTTAAAATGTAGTAAATACTTTGATGTAAAGGATTTTATGGATTTTCACCCCAGGAAAGGCATTTTGACTAGTCGTATTTCAATGAGACATTAAAAAAACATGCTTGCGTGATTTTTTAAAAATCGCTGTTATTACCATTCACACAACAGGTAGTAAAAGCTGATGATACAGAGATTTGTTTTGTACTTTTTAACATAAGATTGGCAGAAAAATTGTCAGTTGTCTCATTGCTCAAGATGCTTTAAATCCACACCCTTGAACTGTGATTCAGCAAATTCCCAGAGTAACCCTGGTCTGAAATCTAGGTTCCTCCTTGTCCTGTCCTGCCGGGGGTGGATTTCCCCTAGAGAAGCCAATGAACAACAGCTCCTTTATTTATGTATGTGGTGGGGAGGAAACTTGCTCCACTGTCTCCCCACCTCTTCCTGCAAAATGTTAGCTCTCTTTTGCACCAATCACTTCAGGTCGTGAATGAAAATGGAATTGAGCGGCAGTGGAGCTGGAGTATAGAAACTGCTGTTTTCAACATCACTCCCTGGCTCTGCTCCACACCTCATAAATAATACCTCTCACCTAATTTTAGCTACAGAAAGAAGCAAAAGGAAGCTGCCTGTGTCTTTCTTCAGCAAACCTAAGGTGCTCTGTCGGAGAGGCAGGACGGAGCACTCTGTGGCTGCATTTTCTTTGTTTGCCACAGTTGCAGCAGTATCTTGATGGGGAAGCTGATCTCCAAAGGCTGGCAAAAAAGAGATGCTCAAGTTGTCATGCTGGGGCTCGACTTTGCTGGCAAATCCACCCTTCTCTACAAACTGAAGAGTGGCCAGGCTGTGGAGACCTGCCCGACGGTGGGCTTCAACGTGGAGTCTCTGCAAACACCCTGTGGCGTATCCTTCACCCTCTGGGATGTTGGTGGACAAGACAGCCTGCGGGCAAGCTGGCCTGGCTACCTGGAGGACATCAACACCCTCATCTTTGTGATTGACAGCACAGACGTGGCCCGGCTGTCCGAAGCGGCGGCAGCACTGGAGGAAGCCCTGAGCCACCCCAGCATGGCTGGCATCCCCGTCCTCCTCCTGGCCAACAAGCAGGAGGTGCCAGGAGCACTGGCTCCTGCTGAGCTGGGGGAGATGCTGCGGCAGGGGCGGCTGGCAGGGCACCGCTGGATGCTCCAGGGATGCAGCGCCCACACCGGCCAGGGCCTGCAAGAAGTCCTGGCCATCCTGGGAGAGCTGCTGCGGGGCCCAGAGCCGAGCTCTGTATCCCAAGAGCAGCCCATCACAGGGCTGGTGGAGAGGAGAGAAGCTCCAGAACAAACCTGAAACTCAAGTGGACCCTCCCCACTCATCGCTGCCAGCAGCTTTGTCACAGAGGATTCCAGCCTCCAGGCACCCTCTAAAATGAGCAGACCTGTAGCTGGCACACACTGTGAAACACCCAGCTTCTCACCACTGAAACCCACCTGGAGAACCTCTGAGCAAAGCTCCCATCATGGAGCAGGTTTGGCCTCATCTCTTGGACTCTCATCACTGGCTGCAGCTTATCCCACTCTCACCATGTTCTGCTCATCCACTACACACTTGTGTCTGGAGCTTCAGCAGAGATGTTTTTGCCAGAGCAATATAAATTATATATATAAATTATAACAGAGACATGTACAAGGGACAGAAGAGGTTTTCTTCTTTCTGCAGCTCCCAGCCCAGATGCAGCCATCCAGATGGGGTAATTCCCACAGCAGGGGAGCTTGAACACGCCCCACGCTGCTTCTCTCTCAACATGAATCACATGTTCATTGGCTGGGAAAGCAGGCAGACACTAAAAGGAGTGGCTGGATGGGAGCAGTGTAAACTCAGGACTTCAAATGGCTAAACAGCTAATTGGCTTTAGTGTGGCATCTGTAGGTATAATCTTCAAACCGTGGAAGCAAGTCAGGATTCGATGGTGTATTGCGGTTTGAGGATGTGTATATATTAATTTATGCATTTCTTGTAATGTTTCCTTCTTTTTCCATTCGTTATTTTTGTCAAATACCGATTTCATGACAATGGTGCCTCATTTTCCTATTATATTTAAATATAGAGAAATCAGACCTGACTTTTAGATGCTTGCGAATATGTCTGCATAGCCAGGGGTTAACCTCTAAACATCCTCATGGCAGCCTGAACAGCCAAGAAAAACCCCATCTCTTAGACTTTTTGAATCTGCTTGATCCCACTCCACATGCACTGGTTGGTAACTGTGGGCACCTATGGGCACAGGCAGGTTGGTAACCAAAGGTCTCTCCACACTCAGTTTTGTCTGGGGCAGATGCAAATGCCCCTGGCAGCTCACGACAGGGTCCTGTGTAGCACTGATGGTCTTTGTCCAATCCTGCTCAGCCTACCATTGGAAAAACTTATAAAATATGTGCCCTGTATCCAAAATATTGTTATCCAGGATTAAAATTAAGATATTTCATAGTAGTCTCTGCTTTACTACAAAATGAATAGGGGAAGGGGATAGATAGAACACAACGTTTCCATTTCTGTTTTCCATTTCTGTTTCTATTCAGAGGCCAGCTGCTTTCAAGGAACAACATATCCAACCTAGAAACACCGAGGAGAAATACACAGTGAAACCCTCTTCCGTTCATACCAGAGCATTTAACAGCCGTTAAGGAATTAACCGTCCAGCTGCTACTGGTGCTATTATTAGCCACATTCCACAGAAGACAGCAGCTGGAATAGAGAGCTTAGACAGTCGTGGAGAAACAGAATCAGACATTTACAGGAAGGTCTCAATAAAAGAAATACTTCCCAATGGAAAAGAGCCACATTTCTGTCAGCTGTGTTAATGTAGAGTTATTATGTGCTATGAAACAGTGCTCCAGTGTTGATCTGGCCTAAGCGATCGTGGTTATGAGGATACTTAAGCAGCACTGAATCGTATAATTAATTATAGGACAAATCTCTCTGCATGCTAAGGGAGACAAAGTCACATCTTTAAATCTTTGCAGGTAGCATAAGCTGGTTGGTCCACCTTGGGCTTGCTGTAGGTGGTCATTTTTTGCCTCTAACACACCAAGCTGCAACGCACGTGTTGGATATGAGGCTGTCACAGTCAGAGCAGGCAGGTTTTGCCAGACAACACAAGATGCTCATACCTAGGCAAAGGTGAACAAATTCAAGTCGTCAGTGCAACCCAGTTGCCAATACATAAAAAAGCCACATCTTCTCTGAAACTCATGTGGCCCTTTGGAACACCAGTCCTAGAGGCACAATGCAAAAGACTCTGTTGCATTGCCATGCCAAAAAAAAAAAATTCTCCTTATTAATTTTGCTGGTGTTTTGGTCTTGCATCTTACATGGTACAAAACAGAGAATTGTATGTTAGGGCAGAGGCATCATCAATGGTTTAAATTCAACAACACATTGAAAGGTTGTCCTGGTGATGTTTTACTCTTAAGTGGTTCTTAATTCCTGCATTTGACTCTACAGGATTGTCTGCTGGTGGTTAAAAGAGGAACCAAAGTCTTCCCATTCCCCCATGGGTGTTTTTTAAGTTCTTTATAAAGGGAAAAAATAGGCTACTCTGGCAGCAAATACAGGTAATCGCCAGGCTTTGATATATAGCACTAATTAAAAATTACAATAGCAAAGTGGGAGGTGGGGAAGAAGGCACGGTGGTAACCCTGAATTTGTCTGAAATTGATGAAGCAATATCCCAGTTACTGAAAGTGTTCTCACTTCCTCTGAAGCACTGATTTGGTAAAACAACCCATCTCATGGGGCATCATGTGATTTACCATCCTTGTTTTCTGGAATAAGGCTTTTCTGGATGCTTGGTCACATTACTCAGCCCATTTATGCCGTTGTTGTAGAGACTGTCAAAACAATGATGGGTCATAATTTCTGAAACAGCGACGCAGAGTTTACTTCTAATTATTTGTCTTTTCTCCTGCATTGGAAACGTGTTAAAAACAAGTCAATCTAACAAGCAATGCATTGCTCTAATCAAAGGCTTGTGGGACGTTCACCGCACAGCACTTAAGTTGTTCAGTGTCAAAAGTCCTGCCTGGTTCAGAGGGAACGGCATGGCGGTTTGCAGGAAGCAGCCAGCCTGAGGGAGGGAAGTTTATTGCTGCTTTTTCTTGGTAATCCTGCAGGATAGCCTCTGCCACATGGAGTGGTATTAATCCCTTAAACATCTGTCCTTATGGACTTCAGCCAGGAGAGCGTCTTCAAACTTAATTTCCATCTTCCTGAGTGTGTGATAGATGTCACAATCTCTGCATCAATTTCTAAAATAACATAGCTTCTCTCTGAGTAGCAAGCTAAAGAAAAAATCCTCAAGACTTTTATTTCAGGATCCTCACAAATTCAAAGTGTCCTTTGGCTTATTCACCACAGAGCCCACTCTTGGTTGATCAAGATTCCCTTCTAGCAGCTTTTCTAGATGCTCAGTCTATCCACTTGCCATCCCTAACACCGGTTGTCTTAAAGCCAAGAGGAGAAGTTTGGAACAGTCAGCTTCTTCTATTTTCTTTTTCTTTTTCTTTTTCTTTTTCTTTTTCTTTTTCTTTTTCTTTTTCTTTTTCTTTTTCTTTTTCTTTTTCTTTTTCTTTTTCTATTTTCTTTTTCTTTTTCTTTTTCTTTTTCCCCACAGCAGCAAGTATTTATTTCACTCTCTTTGTAAAGCAAAAAGGTTTCTTGGGAATAGTTTTACTCCTGTTTTTTTCCCTCCTCACCTTTGTAATAACTTTCATCCTGTTTCTAGACTCTCTTAGTATCTTCCTACAGCTTCACCAGCAACCTTTAACTGTCCTGGTCAGTATTTAGTTGTTACTATGTTCTGTTTTTCCAGGAACTTGGTGGCCTTGGGTTAAATGTTGTGGCACAAGCAGCCACCTCATAAGATAGCAAGGTTCGGAAAGGACATCTGGTCCAAAACACTGCTTAAATCAGGTTGCTTGAGGTCTGGAGCAGCAGTTTTGAATGTCTCCAAGATGGAGGTTCAACAACACTTTTAGAGGTGCTCTGGTTTTGTCTTAACCTTTACAGTAACATGACCAGAATCCATAATTGTGCATTAATCTTCCCAGACACCACTCCATTGGGATGAGCCATACAGGTAAGCATCTACGCTTGCCTGTAGATGTCAGAGCAGCCTCCTTGCCCAAGGCAATCAGCTCCTCCAACCCTCGCACCTCCCATCCCTTCTCTGCTTTGCAGGGATCACTGCAGTGGGAATTACCTCCATGTCCTGCTGCTTTTTTCGAGGACACCCAGGCATTTTAGTCATGTTTCACACTGTTTATGAAAGAGCATAGCTAATTACTCACTGATTTACTAACATTTCTATAGGGCTGGTTTTCAAAGCAGCTTCAACAAACCCTTTTCCAGACTATGAACTCAGCACAGACTTATTTTCTAATTCCTGTCAAGAAGTTTTCCATCCACATCCAGTGAGAATGAAAGCAGCAAACTGGAAAAAAAGGACCCAACCAACACTAAAACCAGTACAGGAAGGATGAGTCACCTTTTCCCCTTCTCTTCACCAGTGCAGGAAGGATGACTCACCTTTTCCCTGGTCACTCCACAACTTCCATTTTTCATCCAGTCCATGGCACAAAATGTGCATTAGCACATTTCTGCTCTTGGAACCATTGCTTTGCTTTGTCTTTGGAAGGACCTACATGCCATTTGTCCTGCAGTTACTGATGGAACTTCCCTGGTGGGTTTCAGTATTGCTGAACGGCCTGAGATCACAGGGGAACCATGAGAACCCGGGGCTGCAGGGTGAGGGCATGAATGGTTGCCAATACACTATTTAAAGAGGGAACAGGCAGCCACAGGGTGCATGAGAGGCAGCTGTGACCAGCTGTAACATCAGGAGAAGAGTGTAGAGCAGCAGCCAGAGACCTGGGAAATGCCTGGGCGAAGAAAGGTCAATAAGAATTTTTTTAAAGGCCAAGAAGAGCTTTCTTTTCAAATACAACATGGAAAAGATTCCAACCCCCCTCCTTTTTTAGGACACAGGCCGTATAATGCAGTATAATGTCTTAATTTTTGCTTAATACACCTGACAGCTGTAAATTAACTACATCCTCTTAAAGAAACCCTGAAATAACCCCTATAAAGATTCACCACATGTAATTCACCAAAAAAACAAGGAGCAAACCGCATGTGATGCCACTTCTTAAAAAAAAACAATCAATACTGTTTCCAAATGGTATTAAAAATCAGTCATGCAATAATGATTAAGACAAATGAGAAACTACAGTTCAAGACATTTCAGCCTTCAGGGGGTTAATTAACTGGCCTCCATCTAAGCTGTCCAGTACTTGATTTTCTCATGGTGCATTTGTTTGAGTGGCAGCCCTGCGCCTTCCATCTGCACGTTGCTAAAAATGCCAGGTGAAGGCTGGCATTTGGATTAGGACTTCAGCGATGCATCCACGGCTGGAAGTGCGTCATTCCCCCCATCTCGTACTTCACACAATGTGACTTGTATAAAGTTCCTGCCAAAAGGAAAAAAAAGAAACCAAACAGATAAATTAACCAACTGCTATGAAAGGCGGTATGGACCCAGCGTATCCCCCGGCTCTGTCTTGCCGCTGCCGCCTCTCTGTGGTCAGACCAGAACAACAAACCTCTGCTCCAACCCAGTCTGGACACTTCTGACCTCCAAAGCTCCAATGCTTTAAACCAGACCCGCACCATTAACATCTTGCCTGCTAATTGCTGTCAGAAACAATCTCCCTGGAGCTCCCAGAGCTGACAAACTGTTCTTAAATTCTCCCTTAGGCCTCAGATTTTTATTAGGTTTTTTTGACCTGTGCTGGCTAACCACACTTGGATGTGGCAATGAGGCGTTTTTTTTTCAACAAGCCACAATCACTTGCACAAAAAAACCCCTTGGTGATCAGCAGCTCTGCAGTAATGCTCCGCTTTGCCTCAGACAGAGTAGCAGCATTTGCTTTTTAACCAAACAGTGATGGGGTTACAAAGACACTGGTTTCTGCAGTGAGAGAACAAAGTCACACGGGCCCATGTGAGGTTTGATAATGGAGGGAAAGGACTTTGGAAAGACCAAAGTGGAGGTTTCCTGGGGCAGAAGAATACCAGCTGAGAGCAGGGGACCTAA